TCGCTTCCTGTCTCGTAAATTGCGACCAAAGTCAAAAAAATTGAATTTTTGGGTGTAAATTTCCGTGGGTCCCGTTTGTGTTATGGAAATTTACGCCCCCGAAAAATTTCCTGATGGCCTAATAATAATTATAATAATAGTCAAGAAAATATATTAACACCTAATACTAGTTATATTCATTTTATTTTTTTAGAAAATATTTTATCTTTTACTTCAAATAATACAAACGATAGTAATATTTCTTTACCTATCACAAATAATAGTAATATTTTTTTTACTTATTATTGAAAATAATTCTCATATTTCTAAAAAATCAAAAATAATTAAAGGGGATTCAAAATTTGATGAAGTCTGGTTATATTTTAATAAAGGAAAGGAAGTTAGAGATGAATATTATTTTACAGAATGTTTTAACTGTAAAAAAACCTGGGTATGAGAAAAACCAGAAAAACTTAAAGTACATCTTGTAAATTAATATGTATAATGTCCTTCAAATATATAAAAATATTGGCAAGAAAAGTTAGCTACAGAAAAAAATAAATATATATATTCACAAAAAATTATAATTTTTCAAATACTATTTTAACAAAGTTCTATTACAAATTATTTTAAATCAAATAAAGAATTGCCACTTGTATTTTTAGAACAAATAGATTATTTTATACTTAAAGCATAGGTTATAGCTAGGATTCCTTTTAAAGTAATAAAAAATCTATTCATTGTTGATATGATTTATGAACTTAATCTTGAATATGTACTTCCATTAAAAATAGCTTTATCAGATTAACTTTTGAATAAAGAAATTTCATATGAAAATAAAATTTATTTTTTAATTAATTTTTTATAATTATGACATATAATATAATTACGACATATATGTCTATAGTTATGACACATGTTTATAATTATGATATATAACTATAAGTATAGCATTTGATTATATGACATTTCTAATTGAGAGTTACGACTATAGTTATGACATATAAATATTGTAACCCTAAGTTATGATATGGCAATATGTTTGCACCCCTAATTAAACTCTATTACTTTTCTACTAATTTATATTTTTCAAATATAAATTCTAATTAATAAACTTCTGTTATTACTTTATAAATTATTAACAAATATATTTAGCTCTTTGCTCTAATTTCTTAAATTGTTTTTTAAAATTTAACCATTAATTAGTAACTTAATTTCTGTGATTATAAATTCCTAAGTTTAGTTTTAGTATTTAACTTAAAATTATTCTTTTAATTCTTTTTAAATTATTTCTTTCAATTTGTATACTAAAGTAACTATTTATAAGTTACTAATTATAAATTACCTTTTGAAAAATAAAATTAATTCAAAAGGTTGACTAGTAATAATATTACATTCAGCTTCAGGATATTTATCTATTACTTTATGCTTCTTTTTTTATAACAAATAGAGTAGTAATATAAAAATGTGAACAAAAAAAAAATATCACGTCATTCAAGTATGGTATAAAAAAAATTAAGCAAAATAGTATAAAAATTGGTATAAGAAAAAAGGTGAAAAATTGATATATAAAAGAAATCTGTTTGTCCTCCTTGCTATTCAATATACTAAAGATATTAAAAAAGGAATTATTTATTTTAATGTTCCTTCTATATTAGATAAATTCATTAATAATTTTGAAAAGGCAATTGGATATTTATTCAAGATACCTACCACAGATATCTTGATACAAAAGATTCTTGACAATAATAAGTCTGGTAAGACTATTATAATGAAAAGTACTAGTGTTTACTCTGTGCTTATTTCTTGTTTTATAACTAAACAGTTTAGATTTTCTTATGGATAGTATATCTTTAACAAAATACATAACAATAATAATGATATACTTTTAGTAAATTTGAGTCAAGAGAATCAAAAGATGATAAAGGATCTGTAGGATATCACAAAATTTCATATTGATGAATACAGTTGTGTTGTTGTATTTGTTAATAATGAAGTAACAGTGCTGTATGTGAATATTGTATGATATAATTTGTTCTTTGGCTTTGTTCTAGAACTATTATAGTCACGTGCTAATAAAAAATACAATTGTTATCAAAGACATAACTATAGAAGAAACATTCAACTACCTTTACTATACCTGCCACCCAAATTCAAAATCCAAATGCCGAAATCCCAAATGCCAAAATCCCAAATCTCAAATCCCAAATTATGATTAGTATTTTTTGCCGAAATCCCAAATCCCAAATCCCAAATACTAGTAATTTGGGATTTTGGCGTCCCAAATCCCAAATGATTTGGGATTTGGGCAACACGTATATTAGTTAGTAATTTATTATATTTTAGTTTAGCTATCGTATCTTTGCTAATAGTTAATTGTATTCCTTGAAGGTCAGATCACAGTTAACAATATGTATTACATTTTTTTATTATTTAATTGTTTATATTTAGTAAAATACCTATACTGTACAGTTTTTAATATAAAAATATCTATACTGTATAGTTTTTTAATATAAAAAATTTTATACAGTACAATTTAAATATATATATATAATAAAGTATACTGCATTATATAAATTTTGTACAAATTTTATGTAAAATTATATAGTACAAAATAGTATTTTGTATTATAAAGTTTATCATCATATCTTTGCATAAACATATATCAACAGATTTTTCACCTCACATGAATTTAGAATTTATTGATTCATAATTTGCTAAAATATTGTTTTTGAGATACCTATGGTTATTTTTTTAATATATTAAATATAATAACAAAAATAGTCATTTTTTTGATATGTTTATAATTGTTTTATTTATAGATGCATCAAAAAAATAACTATTTTGTACATGAAATTTATGAAATTTGATATATCAAAAAAATAACCATAAATATATCAAAAACAATACCTTCCATGTTAAATTCATATGTCAAATATAGGGTGACAAATATGAATATTTGAACGGTGTGACACACGGTAATAAATATACTACCCCTGATAAACCCTAACCCATGCATTTAGACACGTGGATGAAAATCTGTTGGTGATACTAGGTAGATCATGCCGTCGAATTCAGAAAGGAAATATTAGTAATAGGATTAGCAAATTTTATTGTCGAAATTCCCTTTTCTGAATTTGGGCAGAAACTTGAATTATATATTTATTACTAAACGGGTTAAAGTTTTCGTGTGACTAAAAGTGATCAACGAAATGCCATTACGCAATACAGTGTCAATAGCACACCATTTTTAGAATGACAATATTGGTGGGGAAAAATAAAAATTTTAAATTTTTTTCTGTTATAGAAATTCTTCTGATACTATAATTCTATAATTATTATTTAATTAAATATCAAAATACTGTACATCACAGGTACGGATTTTCCCTTACCTTTTATCATTTACCTATTTCTATCTATTTCTACCTATTTCTACACACATTATCCTTGAATCTACCCTAGTAATATATATTTCCTTTTATAACTCCTGATACAATTTATATATAGTATCTAATATCTTGTATAGTTACTTCTCTTGTAGAAATATTATTACCAGAATAAATTCTCATGCGAACTAACTGCATCATTGATATAAAAAAAACTGATGTAAAAATAGATTGATTTATCTCAGCCCAGCAATAATCAATCTTCTCTTTGCCTCAGGAGTCCAATAATATAAAGATTAGATAATCGCTTTTTTTCTGCGATGTGATTACCTCATAATGAAATAACAATTTCATTTAAATACAACCAAAAATCGTATTCATTTTTTTTCGAAATTTTAATTGTGAAATTATAAATAAATAAAATAAATAATTATAGATTATAGATTGATTAATAATAATAATAATAATAATAATAATAAAATAATAATAATAAAATGGTTGACGAGTCAAATAACCTAAATTATGAAGAATGGTCAAATTACGGTGCAACACTTTTAGGTGAAAATAATTAAATTATTCGATAATTATTTAATATAAAATTATTAGAAATATTAAAATTTATATAAATAAAAGTAGAAGGCGACGTTATTCCTGTTGAAAATGCTCATACTAAAGGGTCAAATTGGACTGCTTATGTAAATGTCGTGTAAGTTTTAGCAATTTTTTTTTTTTGCAATATTTAATTTATTTATAAAAAAAAATTTTTTTTTGAATTTCCAGGTGCTTGCTTGCGGGATCTGGTACACTTGGAATTACGTATGCAATTAAACAAGGAGGATGGATTTCGGTGATCATTTTAATGATTTCGGCAATTATGTCGACATATTCGAATATAAAATTAATTGAATGCTTATATTATGATCGGTAAAAAAATTTTATATTTATTTATTTATATAATTATATAATTCACGCAATTCATCACATAATTCACACGTAATTTACGAACTTAATGTATAGAAAAACTCGTAAAACCTCAATGTCAGAAATAGCCTATAACGCATTTGGAAATGTTGGTCTATATATTGTTTCGTTTTTCTTTAATGCCCTTGCTTTAGGATGCCCAATTCTTTATTTAATTCTGGCTGCTGATAATTCACAATCATTATTTAATTATAGTAATGATGATGATAATAATAATTATAATATCAGAATTGATATAGGGATGGAAAATTGGGTTTATATTTGGGGTATAATTATGTTTGTACCTTTTATTCTATTAAAAACAATGAAAGAAGCTGCATGGTTAAGGTAATTCATTCTTTCTCATATTCTAAACTCTATTTTTATTTATTTTATTATTTCATTTACATTCCTTTATATTTTCTTTATTTACTTTATAGTATATTTGGTTCATTGACTACGGCTTTAGTTGTTATAGTAGTGTCCATTACCTCTGTTATTGAATATCCTAATAATTCGCACAATTCACATGATTTCATAAATATTCGAAATATCCCAATAGCATTGGCAACTTTTAGTTTCAGTTATGGTGGAAATGTAGTTTATCCTCACGTAGAAGCAAGGTAAATATAAAATAGATTTTATATTTATATTGTGATAATTTTTTTTTTTTTAAAAAAAAAAAAAACCAATTAATAATTTACATAAATTACAGCATGAAAAATCCTCAAGCTTGGCCAAAAGTAATAAGTCTTGCTACATTTACAGTTACAATAATGTACTTTCTAATTGGAATTCCATCTTACTTAACATATGGACAAAATTCCCTTTCACCTATTTATTTTAATCTTCCAATTGGTTTTTCTGTAACAATTTCCATAATAATGATTACTGCTCATGTATTATTAGCTTTACCAATTTATCAAACTGCTTTTGCTATAGAATTGGAAAATTACCTTGGTATTACTGTAGAAAATCTAGGAAAATCCCGTGAATTAATCTGGAGAATAATAATTCGTACAATTATTACGATATCTATGATTTATTGTGCGATTAATTTACCTTATTTTTCTGATTTTATGGCGTTACTAGGTGCAATGGGTAATGGAGTTTTATTAAATTTTATGCCAATAGTTGTTTGGTTAAAATTATTTGGTTGGAATCAATTGAATGGATGGAAAGAAAAATTTTGGATAATCTTTATTTTGGTATTTTCTTTCTTGGGTGCTGTGATTGGTACTTGGGATGCTTTAAAAGCTTTATGGTTAGATATTAATCATCAATAGTTACAAATTTACATTTGAGGATTAACGTTATATAGATTTATGTTAAATAATTTTAAATGATTTAATAAACATCGGAGATTACAATATTAATTATTAATGTTGTGTTATTTCGGTACAATATACAATACATGGTGGTTTTATTAATATGATATTCAGTTTAAATTCAGGATGTAAGAGAATTCTTTCATAAGATTATCGAGCCATGCAATATTAAATCATTCTTTAGAATACCACACGATCAGTTAAAAAATTTGTAATATTTTCTAGGATCTTCTTTTCTCTCTATTGCACCACAATAAAGTCGCTTATCTCTCTCCAAATTATCACGGAAGCAACCCATGTTCAATGGTATATTGATAAAGGCATTTGGATTACTCCTAGAAATTGAGGAGTTGTGTTGTCAAGGATCGCCGGAGACGAGTTTTGACATATAAAAACAGAGCGAAAATGCTGAACTTCAGGTAAGAAAATAAATCATTATTAAAGTGCTCAATAAATCAAATATTCAAACTAACAATTAATCGATTTATCAATTCTAAATGCAAATCAATATTCCCGATAATTTTTTATTTGTGATATTTATTACGATCCGCGAATTGTATAATCAGAGTATCTTAACGTTAAAGATGTTTTATTCTGTTATCCCAGAAAATACAATAATTTATATAATTTTTGCTGCAATATTTATTTATATGCGTAAAAGCTCACACCAAACCCTAACTCTAACATCAATGTCATTAACACAGATCGTATAAATTTTTATGCATAACAAAAAAATTATAATAAAGTAAAATATAAGTTCACTCCACATTCTAATACAAGATATCTATTCCACTTCATCTTGTACCATTGAATTGTACTAATATCATTGCCTACAGACAAAATGGCCAAGATATGGAACATAAGAAGAGTGATCTGTTTTGGGTGTTGCCATCCTTGAATTGACGTTGTTACTACCTGGGAGAGCAAGCTTTACTAAATTATAGTGGTTTAGCTTGGTAGTGAACTTGTGTTGGTTAAATTATGTGAATGATTATAAATATTAAAGATAAAAATATAATTAATTAATCAATAACTAAAAACACTAAATTAAATCAAATAACTAAATTGATAATCAAATCAAAATAAAATAACTATAAACTAAAATCAATCAAAAATCAATAAATCAAAATAAAGAATAAGAATAAAAGGTGAGTTTGGGTATACAGGATTCCTTTGGTTATTTCAGCAGCACTTTAAGACAAAAGTATAAAGTAATTGTTATTTTTATTAAAATAAAAGAAATAGGAATTGTATGAATTTTACAGACTGTCTTGGACAAGGTAATTTCTCTTGTCCTTATATACATTTCTATGCTGGGATCTATAAACAGACCTCATCTGGAGTGCAGACCTCACCTGGGATCTCTTTAATTAAAGACCTCAACTGGGGTTCAAGATAATCAAAACATCACTTGGAGTCTTGAAGGTCTTTTGATTTTCCACTAGCCTTTTTTATCTTAATTCTATTATTCTCTAAATAATTAATTATAAAAATATAAATAGAACTAAATATATATAGAGCAATTCTAAAACTAATACATCAACTACTTAGTAATAATAAATAATGAATAAATAAATAATAATAAATGATAAAATATAATAAGAAAGAATTAAAAATCAATAATAAATAAGAAAAAAAAAAAAACTTCTAACAATGTTGGGATTTGAATTTGTTGGGAAAGGAGTATTTGGAACAAACTCAGTATTTGGGCAATAGGGTTGAACATATGTAATTTTATTAATTTTATCTTATTAATTTTATTTATGATATTATTCAGGTCACCTATAAATATTTGATTTATCAATTGTCAAGAAATAATTATGTGGAAATAAGAAAATAAAATTTTCACTTCAACTCAGATTTAAATTAATAACAGAATGATGTTTTTGATCAAATGTTGATTTATAGTTTCAACAATTCACATGAGGTAGAAACTGATTACAAATATTGTATCAATCTGATTATTTCACCAAGTTGAAAGTTGTTGATTAAACAAAGACATTATTTTAAAATATATTTCTGCTTTCACTTTACCATTAAACTGAATAGTAACAAAGATTAAGAAATAAATGTAAAATAATTATTAAATAAAAATAGTATCCTACCTTAATGAGGTTTGAAAATATTATAGATTATTTCAAAAATTTTATCACATTTCTTAGTTTTTATAAGTGGCAATTCAATATTCACATCATTACATTAACTTCATTTTTGATTTGATTAATCACCAAAGAGAAATAGACTATTGGCTTAATTCAAAATGCAATGTTTTAAAAAAATGAAAATATATTTTAATATCTTGAATTCTGAATTATCATGAATTGAATATATTTTTTACATCTTTTTATTTTTTTGTTGATTATTTAGATTCCATTGTAAAATTTTGAAAACCTAATTAACAAAATCCTTAATTTTTTATAATAATAATTTCTGAAATTTTTATTATACCATATTTCAAGTAGGAAAATTCTGCTATCTTGATAATATATATCTTTTTTACTAATCATAATTAACTATATCTTTAAATTTTTTGATATGTTTATACTAACTAGTACAATGAAATTGATATTGAGTTCTTGTGCTTCTAATATAATTCAATATATTCAATTTTTGTTTCTTAGTAATCTATTTGAATGTATTTAACTTGGAATTTGTAGTTTTTCTTAAATTTCAATTCTTTTTTAAATTATATTCCAGTTTTTTGATTATGGTTAAATGTTTATTATTTGAAATTTCAAGTTTAGAAATTCTTTCATTTAATAAATCAATTGTAGATTGTGTATTTGTCATTGTTTTTATTCAAAAAATAAACATATTTATCAGTATAAGCAAAAACTATGATATAGAATAAAAAATACAAGATAAAATATATAATAAAAAATTATTCATTTCATAATGAAGAAATAGTGAAACTTGGATAAACATTCTAGAAAGATATTGTTATGGTATAAAATATAATATATAATTATTAATTAAAATATTTAATATAACTAGTAATATCAATACATTATAACAGAAGATGAACAATTATTTTAACTTATAGTTATTAACAAATAATATTTTATCATAATAGTTAAAATAGTATAAATATACCTTTATCCTAAATAAGTATAAGGATAGTTTGTTTTTATTGGTTAATGATCAGATTGATATGATCAATCAAAATTCAATTTTATTAGCTGGTAATTAAAATCTTGTAATTGGTATAATTGATTAAAATTTGAATCATATACAATTTGTTTTATTAAAATAAAAATAATCATACTTCTTTAAAAATCTCATTAATTATTTTAATATAGTTCAAAAAAATTCTAATTCCTGTTCAATATTGAATTGTAATAGTCAAAGATCCTTTTTTACCAATTTATTTTATTAGTACATAAAAAAACTCAAGAAAATAGAAACTATAAATATTATACTTATTTGAGAATCAGGTAACAACTGTATTATATTTATTATATATATATTGTTGAAGTTAACTGTAATGAAAAATTAAAATCATAAGATAATATTATATAATTATAAAATTTTTATTTATATTTATATTATACAATAATTTATTTGACATTCTATTTTATAGAACTAAAAAATTATTTATTTGTTAAACAAGTTATCATGTTTATAAAAATTTTATATAAGCAATGTGATAATATAAAACTGGATCCAATCTGATTTCAACAAATAATTATAAAAGCTGAGCCATACTTACAAGGTTTTTTTGATAAATTAATGAAAGCATTTATTTCAGATAGAAGATCTATATATAATAAATTAAAATACAAAAGACCATTGTAATATTATGTATATAATAGTAGAATAAAAAACAAGTTTGTAAATGATCTTAAATTAAATAAAAACTTGCAAATGAACATTCTTTAAAAATTTGAGATTTTTTTAAGGAACAAGTAATAGATATAAAATCATTTGATTTTTATTTTTTTTTTAATAAAATTTTAATTAATTAATTTAATTTCAATTAGTACAATTACTTGTATATTTATATTTGGATGATTATCATGATATTCATAAAAAGTAAAGATCTAATACTGTAACTTTATCAATAGTAAAATATATGGCAACTTGTGTTTTTTAAAGTTTGTGCATCAATATTTATTATTTTTAACAATGAATTAGTTTATAAACTGATAAATATTGATGTAATATTTGTTTTCAGTTAATATATAAATATCATGAAATATTTAATATTTCATATTCAAATTGTAAAAAATAATGGCTTTCTAATAAACAATCTAGTATAGAAAACTTTGATCAAATAGAATTACTTATAGTTCATTGTTATGACAATGCAATTGTAAAAAAAAAAGAGCAACGCTTAATAAAAAGAGTTCAATTAATTAAATTACAAGAAAAAAATCTTTATTCAATAAATAATTATATTAATGTATTTCAAATAATATTAGACATTAATAAGGATATTAGAATTTTATATAATAGAGTAACACTATTAGTTGTAAATTGACCTAAATAGTTATTTGTTAAAAAAGTATTAATATATTTACATAAAACAAATTTTCAATATTTAATATTAAATAGAATCAATTCTTTTATTTCAATTCTAGGACCATTACATGTTTTTCTCAATAGCAGAGAACATGTTATATTAATATATCACCTCTTTGAAAAACTTTTTCATTTTGTTTTTAGATCAAGAAAAGTATTTGCAAAAAAATCAAACCCATAGAGAATTAACTTGTTTCTTGATTTGGCTTATAATAGATAGTATAAAATTAGAGATGTAATTAATTTAAAATTTGAATGTACCTGTAAAAATACTGAATATTATATGATAGTAAATTTATTGAATAATATTATACCTAATACATTAAATATATATGCTATACGTTTTTGTTCTGATTCTTATGATGAATATATTAAATCTATTTTTTGAATTTGAACATTTGCTTTATGTTATTTCTAACATAACTACAATTAAGCTC